ACTAAATAGTTAGAGTGTCTTAGTTAAAGAATTAGTAATTATTATAGAGCGCCTATCTAATACAGCCCCGCGCGAAAGTATCAGACTAAAACGCGTTATTTTTGAACACGCGTTTTTTTACACCCTTTTTCAAACAACTCCTATAGCTCAACGCAAGGCTCTGGCGCCTCTTGAAATTAACAGGAGCTATGGCAAGGAGTTATCTCCATACCAACGAGGTCAAATTTCTGCGTACAAAGCTATGGGGTTGACAAATCAAAAGATTAGTCAAAATTTGCAATGCGGCAAATCCACCGTTTTCAATACCCTTGCTTAAAATCCACTGCGTAACCAAGGCAAAAGCTTGCCCTGTTCAGGACGCCCCCAGACCTTGAATAAGGTTCAGAAACGCAATATTCTACGTCTTATTCGTGTCAATCCAAAGGCTACTTATCAAGAAATCAAGTCTGAAGTTGGTATTAGTATCCATCGAATGACTATCTATCGAATCCTCAAAGACAAAGGCATTACTAATTAGTTAGCCAAAAAAAGCCTTTGGACCTAGCTTCTAGTTGAGACTTGTTTTCACTAGTTAAGCCTTAATATATATTTCTTCTAGATATAATTCTTTAATTTTGTAATTAGCACGCTATTTAAAACGTCAAAAAAAGGCTTGCTGATAAGGGCTATTCTAAGGAGATACGCAAGGAAATAAAGTTACTATTATAGGCCTTTATTAAGAGCAAAACTCTACTTGAATTAGAGACTAATTATGCAGTTATTTATTCAAAACTAAGGCCGGATAAGATTAGATATCTCAACAAATATTAGGGTCTTAAGGAGTCGCAGTTTTTACGAATTTACACTTGAAAGCATCCGAACCTAGGCGCTTATTCGAATCAACGTTCTGAGAGCCTCTACCCTGGCACAAAAGACCTTCTGAATAAGCAACTTAGTATAGAAGAGACTAGTCGTCAATTAGGAGTTACTGTGAAGTCAAAGCTGAGGCAGTTATCTCAGGAGGAGGCTCAGAATGGTAGTAAGTTACCTTGTACGCTCGACTCACAAGCATTCGTACTGCTGGCAGATACTATATCGCTTTTCGCTGTTTCGAAGATATCCTCTGAATGAGAGGCCACAAAAGATGAGATGAATAAGGGCACTCTACGCCCTGAGCCTTCTTGCTTCGAATACGAGATACTTGTTCGATTTGGCCTTCCCTGCAAGCATTATCTTGCATAGCCGTTTGAAGATAGTGCCTCTATTCCTCGATTCTTAGTACACCCTCGTTAGTGGATTAATGGTAAGCCTATCTATATCGCTAATTAGGTACCAACGTACCGTACTTTCGCTCTACTAATATCCCCCCTACAAAATTCTTCCTCTTACTTGCAGCACCCTTATATCTCTCCTAATAGGAATCAGATTACAGGGCTTGGTCTACAAGTTCTAGAGGCTAGAGAGGACCTTACAGGCTATGCTCGTACATGATACGATCGAGCAGCTATAAATGCCTAACAAGGTCTTGTTGAATTCGCTCAAGAGCTTAAAGAGGATGATCTTAATACTCGAATGCCAGATATCGTCAACAAATCAGGATGGAATAGGCAGTTCAAGAGTCATGATAGGGTCAACAAGCGACTTATGACAGGAGCTGAGGCAGCAGAGCGTGATGCTGACAACAGAGAGAGCAGGTTGCTGTTCGAGAGGCACGCCAAGAGACTAATATGGCTCTTATAGCTTCATTTTTAACAGGGCCGATGCCCTCTACAAGCTCCTCCTCCTCCTCTAACTCCTGACGAAGAAGAAGAAGAAGAAGAAGAAGAGGAAGAAGAAGCTGTAGACGAGGCTTTTATTCCCCCCCCCTCAACAGCGCCAGCAGCAATAACGTAATCAAGAGCTGGCCGCAAAAGAGCCCCTACAATGAAGGCATTAGAGGCTGAAAAGGTACCCAAACGGGGTACAGGACAGGGCAGGGGTAGGGGCAGAGGCAGAGTAGGCAGAGGGGCAAGGGAATAGAGTCATTTCTAACACCATGATTTCTATACTTATTTCCTAATAGGGAAGTTATAACAGCATCAATAGATATTGTGGATAGCTGTGTAAAATCTTCATATGATTCAGATGGGCAAGATGGGTGGATTTGTTAGTAATTTGTATGACGCGATACCCGCCAAGACCCAAACGCCGAATGCACCGCTCGCCGAATGCACCGCTGCGAATGCACCGCTCCGAACGCATTCCGGGAAAACCGACCGGCAAAAGCGGCGTAATGAAGCCTCAAGATGGATTCATAGACATCGACCTCGGTGACAATTCTCCTTGTCTCTACTCTGTAGCTATTGTCGCATACCTTGTCGGAGAAAGTGGGAGGGACGTTGTGTTCGAATCTTATCATGAATCGGACTCGGATGTCTACGTAGTGAAATTCAAGGACCGCTGACCCTCAACAACTTACCGCCATCGAATTCACGCGTACCCAACTCGCCAATCCCACATCAACCACATCACCCCTCCTCCTACTAGCCCCTAACCCAGCGCACCACACAATTCCTACAACAACCCTCTTCCGTTCCATTGGTTATAAATCCGAACCTCTCTCTACCTTAGCCTCCGCCGGAATTCCCTTCAACTCGCAAAAGGGGATCTTCCCTAACGATGGCGTTGGCCGCATAGTCTCTTCACCTCAGCATGCACACAAGCCCCAGGAAATGGATCATGAATACAGCATCCCGATCCCGGGTCTTTACTGTGCTGGGTGGGTGAAATGCGGGCCTACCGGCGTTATCGCTTTGACGATGGCGGATGCGTTTAGGACTGCTGAGGCAGTTGTTAGGGATTGGAGGGATCGACAAACAGCTGGGAAGGAGATCATGGATAAGAGGTTCATTGGGAGTGTGGAGTCGAGGGGGTGGGAGGGGGTAAGGGATGCGGCGGAGGAAGCGGGGATAGGGTTGAGGAGGGTGAGTTGGGAGGATTGGAAGAAAATTGATCGGTTAGAGAGGGAGAGGGGAAAGGAGAGGGGCGGCAAGCCGAGGGAGAAGATTGCCAGCGTGGAGGAGATGTTGAGGATACTGGATTGAGAACGCTCTTGGTATGCTGAGCTCTGTGCTATACATGAGACGACGTTACTTGTCCGTCACATACCTCCTTACGACATTACCAAGACCAAAAGTAACGATGCTTCCGCGAGCATAGCATCGAACATCCATCAATCGACACAGACGGTTGATCCAGCAACAATTATTTCAGAAACTAGTGGGTCAGATGGCCATGTCACAGCATCGAATGCGCCTTATCTTATCCGATCAAGCACATTTAGGTTTTTGGGCCGTCCCAAGATGGCTTGCAGATATGATGCTCAAGTGACTTACATAGTAGATTGATGAAGAGGGTGGGTAAATGAGTGTTGCGCTATAGTCTCCAAACAGATGAGGGAGAACATGATACTTGTTCCGGGACAGAACGAATGGTATGTCATAAGACATATAGAGCCATCGAGATGAGTTCAATATCCAGTTGCTAGCGATGAGGATCTCGCTTTGTGCAGACGGTGCAGCACTTGATTATGGGAATTGATCATACTACCATAATGGCTGATGTTCGGGTTTGCCTGAAGGTCGAGTTTGAAGGGTGGATAGATAATTCCTATCAAAGAAAGCTGGGACGGTTGGAATGCTAACTGAAGATGAGATCGGAGATATCATTCTGGAGAGCGCAAGAGCCCGAGAAGCATAGAGTAGTTTTTCTTATGGACCTCTGGTGGTAGTCGACCCAGCGGGCAAAGGCTGGATGCCATGATCAGCTGCAGGGCATGGTGATAACAGGCCGTTGACTTTGACAGGATCGGTCGCTCAGCACGCCAACGAAAACACTGACATCCAACTGATGGGACAGGCAGGTTTCTTGGATAAGGGGATTTTTCTCCCCTCGGAATACTTCAGCTCACTGCGTGACTGACATGGTAGCGCTGCTTCCCTGGACCATTCTCACCAGCAACAATTCTTCATCATTGTCAGTGCTCATGTCCTCTCGTCCTAGCATCCTCGCTTGAGACCTTCTGTATCGAGGAATTGCTAGGCGATGCACCCTACGGTCGAAACGATGGCGCACAGGCCCTTCCTTGTTCTGACCTCTCTGTGTTTTGGATCCTGGCGAAAAGACAGCTGGTCTGTAGACGCATGTCTGGATACCTGCTGGAGACGACTCATTGCCATACCGTGTTACATCTTCTCAATAAAGAGCTGTAATTCGAACGAAAGGATATTCTCCGATCGAAAATTGAACCGTTGACCTTTAGTCTTCCTCTGCGGTCTGCCAACCATCACTCAGCTCGTCATCACTGTGTCCATCACTCAGCTTGATATCACTGTCTCCATCAATGGCGGCATCACTGTCTCCGTCACTGGCGGCATCGCTGTCTGCATCATGCTCGTCTTGACTGTCCTCTGACTCCTCACATTCGAAGAGTGACACCGATTCTTCATACTTCCAAAATGGAACAGGGGCCGGTGGCTCCATATCCGGACCGTCCTCAGTCAATTGGACTACTTCTTCTTCCGGCAGCCCATCCTGTCTCAATAGAGACGGTAGCTCTTCTTTGACAAAATTGACACCATATTGATCTATGCAATATTGTCTTGCATGTCTTTTGGGAATGTCATCCTTCGACCAGCATTCTATCATTTGAGTGATCCATATATTTCGTCCTTCCTCATCCCAGTGCCATCGCCTTCTTTGTTTCCAAGCTCCTTTGCCTTCCAAGAAGTCGAAGCCCAGCTTCCCCAAAAGATGTGGCCAGTCATATGCTATGAAATACTCTCCAAAAATCTCCAGACAAGCCTTTCTCGAGTGCCAGAAAGTAGGCAGCTCCTCTCTCCATAACAACAGTGGCCAATCGTATTTTACGAAATATGAACCAAAGAATTCTTCACAAGCTTGTTTCGACTGCCAGAAAGCTGGCTTTCCAGCTGACCAGTAAAGCTCCGGCCAAGAAAAGTCAATAAAACGCGGCCCAAATACGGCCACACAATAAGATCTTGACCTTCTGAGAGATATTGGCATTCGGCTCCAATTCAGCTTTTGTATTTCGTGCCACTCATCACTACTCCTGTCGTTTCTAATTCTGTGTTGAAACGATCCATTTCCCCAGTAGTCTTCGAATAGCTTTGTGAACTCCGAGAGGTCCCACTCATCTTGCTTCGTTAGAAGGGAGAGCCGAGCTGAGAGAAAATTTCCCTGGGCAATTTTCTGACCTGACTCCTCGAAAGGATCTGTTTGGCTCTGTGTCATTATGATGCGGAACAGACTTAGGTTGGCTTCGTTCGACTTGAAGCCCAGCGCCTTCAAGAGCCAAAGCAGTCCAATGCCAACACCACAATCTACGCCTGAATCTGCTAGCATTTTCGCAATTTCGAGCTGATCTCTTTGCATTACGTGGTTTTCATCTCTGGTTGCTGGAATTATATGATGGACAACAATCTCGAACAAAGTTCGTATGGTCGAGTATCCAAAATCTATAAGATCAAAGGGCGTGACCTCTCGACTCTCTAAAAGTTTCCGAAAACCCACGTAGTCACCACGATGGATTGTTTCGTAGACGGACGAGTCCATCTGATGGGTACGAATGACTCGCAATCGATTATCCCATCCGGGGTGGGAGATTGTAGGTCTGCTTTTTCCTGTTTCAAAAAGAAGACCAAACTTCAGGAACCACGAATTTGGAATAAGTTGAAAGCTCGTCCGTCGTGCTTGAAGGCGCGTTGGAGGAATGTAGTCTGAGTCTACATCACCTTCTTGCTCTGTGGTTAAGGACGTTAATTCAATTCGTCCGAACCAGACATTGAAGACCGACTTGGTTGTTTTCTGTCGCTTCGGGCCTCGTCTACCCAGTTGCATGGAGTGCATGAGATTTTCGGCCGGAATGTCAGTATTGATAGACATGATCTTTAAGTCGTCAGGAAGTAGTGACGAAGCACTTTCATGCTGTAATAACGTCTTTACCGACCTTGTCTGCCTAGGTAACAAGCAATTATTGCCAGTATAAGGGCTTCCTTTATAGAGGTTAGCGGTTATATCATCAGGCCTTTGCTTTGTCGACAGGACCTCAGTCTCTCTTGAAGAATTGTGAATAGCTAGACTTTGTGTGATAGTGTCCTGTATTATAGGCGCTAATATCGTCGGCAAATCATCGAACCGTTTATTGAGATTTGCATTAAGCGACTCAATAGCATTTTGTGTGAAGTGGGACGCAATCTTAGTATCGTAGGCATATTGTTCGGATGATGCAAATTGTACCAGAAGCGTCTGGTTATTTGAGACAATCTTGTCTAATGATAGGTTGGTCATTTTAGCAAGTAGATGACTGTCTTTCTGCAAACTATGAACATCGCTTACAAGATTTTTAGTCTCTTTCACAATTTGGGCTGAGGCTGTGTGCTCATCTTGAAGCTGCTGAAGATTTCGCTGCGCTCCACGGGTCGTGTCAAAATGTTGCAACTGAAGTGCAAGCTGAATGCTGATTTGCGTGGCTAATAAGGAAGACTTAGCTGCTTCCAACTGAGACACATATCCTCTGAGCTGGTCACCTTTTCTTGCCACATCGAATTTCTGCCATGCTTTATGGAACGCGGCTTTGTGGGACTTGAGATTGCCGGAACTCGATGCTGTGGAGATCGAGAGATCCGCGTACTTGTCCACAAAGCTCTGTACTTTCTGTATTACATTTTGGCAGTTTTGTAACGGAATAGCAGGATCTTGTTGTACCCTCAAGCAGGCTGGAGCACTGGCCTGTATCTCCAATAGCAGGTGCTGAAAAGCCTCAAGCCGGGATCTGACAGCGCGCAACTCGGTTAAGATGGCGACAATGACGTCCGGGGCATCCGCGGCATCACAGAAGGTCTTGCAGAGGTAATTGCACCCTTGCAAGATCTGTCCTGACAAGCCGACGAAACCAACAACGCCGGCGGCAATGTCCATTGCTTAAAGTGGCGATAAGCTAGAGCTATTCACGCAACGCTCTCTTGCAATAGCCACGAGATCACGCCGGCTTCTTGTTTGACGTCCCCGAGCGGGTGTAGCTGTTTGCGATGCAGCTAGCTGGCCGTCGTCGCTCTTTAGGCGAGGAAAGCCAGAGATTGTCTTCTGTTTGTGCTCTCCAGGTGCATTCACTCCGTTGTATTTGAGGTTCTTCTCACGATGGCACCTTCCACATTTTGTCGATGGAGGAGTAGATTGGACATCGGGCGGCTCTGGGCTGTGCAAAAGTAAGTTCGCAGCATCAGGCTGCGCATTCTGAGCCTCAGCCTCCCACTAATCATTTCCCAGCCTAGCATCGTTACTAAATCAGGGGATTTTGATTATTATTCCTCTTCATAATAAATTAAGGACTAATTACAAGACTACTTTAGAATAAGCGTTATCCGTGGCCCAATAGGTGGATCCCTAGGGACCCACTTTGCAGGGGGGGTCCCCCTGGCAAAGCCAGCGCGCAGCGCATAGCTGCCAGCCATACACGTTTCTCACCCAAACGCGTTTTTTGAATAGAAATAAAACTTTGAAGGAGTATAGATAGCTTAGAATTCGCCAGATTAGGATATTAATCCTCTATTTCTTCTAGAGGGCCATTTATGATGGTCCACTCCAAATTTGCCGTACGCCGACGCTCATCTTCTAGCTCTTTTTGTAGAATTTGCTCTCGCTTTTGACTCCTCATCTCCTGCGTACCCCCCTCTTCTTCGCGTTGTTTAGTCATATTTCGAGCTTGTTCAGCATAAAGAACTCCTCTAGTTTGTAGCTGACATTGCCCTCTATATCTTTGTTCTCTTCGTTCTCTTTCAGCTGCTATATATTCTGATAAATCCTTCTAGATTTGTACGGCAGTTTTGGCCTAAATTAGAGCCCCTTTAATGAATTTCTCTTATAATATTATTTAATGACTTAAAGTTACATTTTGTAACTAAATAGCTTGCTTTTTAAGAGATTAAGCTGTTAAAGATGTAATAAGAGGCCAGATTTAAGTATTAAAAGAAGTAGATAATTAATTTAGAGGCGTAAGAGGTTAATATTCTTAGATCTTATTTAGTATAATATTTAGATTATAAGGAACAAGTCTATATTCTCAAAATCTATTAAAGATAAAGCTTCTTTTAAACATTATTTAGCAAATACTTTAAATAACTTTAAGAAATTCTAGCTTATCAAATTTGTTATATTCTTTTCAAGTTACTTAATCTATTACCTAGGCATACTAGTACTTATATAGCTAAAATAAAACAATATTAAGTAGTTAAAGAATATAAGAAGTATATAAAGAAAGCGTAAAGATATAAATAAGGTTGAATTTGCAGAATTTAAGGATTTCTTATATAAAATAGCTTATATATCTATTACAGAGAAGGATATAATAAGCTTCTATTTATATTTATTAACTTTTTTTTTTTTTTTTTTTTTTTTTTTTTTTTATATAAAGGGCTATAAAGTAAATAACAATTAAGGAGACAGTATACTCAAAGTAAGCTCCAAAGGCTCTATGTAACCGCAGAAAGGAGTTAATAAAAGAGAACAGTAAAGTTAGATAACTTAAGGGCGCATCGCCTGCGAGTTGTATGCGACTAGGGAGAATTGGGCTAGCAGGTT